CATAGTAGCTTTTGCTCAAAAATTATGACCATACAACAGTAGACAGGTTATTTCAAAATAAACATAAACTAAAAATTACATTCCCAAATCTTTATTACTGCCGCCAAAATAAATAATATATCATACACGTAATAAAATTACCATTCAAAATTCACATTTGATGAATAACTACCGAACACATCGCCGACAGAATTATATATCGTACTAAAAGATAACAGGAACTAATAAATAAAATCGCATTAGTAAGATCTAGAATAATATTTATTACATGACAGAACAATGAAGTAGTGATCAAAACTTATTGGTCGACGTCTGTAGAGGAATGGGTGTGATTGCGCGAATTTACAGATAAGGTAAATAGCTCATACAATTGTTAGAATAGGGGGCTTCAGAGCTCTTTTGTTTAGGAAGTGGTCTAATGGGCGAACGTAGCCGCGGGCAAGACTTACATGGTGTCAATTGTTGGGTGCGTTTAGGGTGGTCGTATAGAGACGTTCTTGTTAGGAGTAAGATGAGTTAGCTAGCTTACTGTGAGATTTTACATTCGATTTCTCCGAGAAGGAAGCATTTAGCAATTGCAAACAAAAAATATGTTTTTTTTTCAGTATTGTTTCCATAACTTGGTGATTGGCTTGTTTTTCAGTTTTATGTGTCTGGTTATAAAATTGATGAAAACATCTAGACAACAATAGTTTAAAACACACTAAGCTACTAATTTATAAAGGTTTTCTTTATCGATGCCATTTCCTTCAACAATTTCGAACTATATTCCTCTCATACAACATTTGCAGTCTCACATAAGAATTCTCATTGAACTGCATAGCTCTAGAGAAATCATACATAGCATCCCATCTCTCGCCTCGTCTTGCCTTTTCTGCTCAATGAACGATAACCTTTAATACCAAAACGGTTGTTGACTGGACTCCATAGTCCATTCGATGACCAATAGGCGGCTTCCACAGTATAATTTGAATTTCGTTTATATGGTTAAACTGTTATTCCGATAGCAATGGATATGAATGGTGGCTGTTTAGAGGAGGAAACATTCTGTTATGTATATCCTTTTGTTGATGCCGGGTTGTGTCGTTGTGTGTGAATTTTTGTTATTAAAGCATGACTGCTGCTTTAAATAATAGATCATATACTTGAAAGCTATGAAACGGAGGCACTAGCGTTTGTTCCCCTTAGTTTACAAAAAAAAAAAAACATAAAAACAAACACCAGGATTTTCTCCCGTATCGTGGGTGCGTTTACAAGCGTACAAGTTCACATACACAATCACACCCAGACCATTAACCCAGTACGATAGTGATGATATTCGAAAGAAAGAAAGACAAAACTTTATTTCGCGCTAAAAAACAAGTGACATGTACAGATGTGTTATTCTATTAGTAGCTGCTTATGGATACATGTTCATGTCCCAAATTTGCCGTGAAATGGGACCAGTTCAGCATGTGCAAGACAGAGCCTTGCACTGGTATTCTATTGGCCCTTAAGTGAATCGCGGTCGAACAAGTCACCAATAAGACTATTGAAATTGAAATTAATTAACCCTTTGAGTACCGTCATTATAGACACAATTAAAGAACAATAGGTTACGGTCATCGGTGTCCTCGCGGTGTTTGACAGTTTAATTAAACAAACATAATAATGTGGTTGACACAGTGATCATATAGATTTAGATCAAGTTCAGTTACCATATACCTCTATAATAGGACTATAGAGGTAATACCTATAATATAATAGGACTATAATAAATGCTGCTACCTGCTGAGTGGTCGAAAGTGCGACGGCCGGGCAAAATATTACTGGGTTTCTAAAAAAAAAACATTATCATGTTACTATTAACGGAGTTTGGAAACGTGACCGGTATATGGAAACAGGCTCACCCCCTATTACATAAGACTCATAACATAAATAGTGAAAAGTATGTGTTACATTGTACAGTGGCATTAAGTGCCGTAATGTGCTGCACCTCTGCCTACCCCTTCGGGGATAAAAGTTGTGGAGTTATATTATGTCAGGAATATAATAATAAACTGAAACATATTTTTTTATCTTTTCGCAGCATTCAAGCTACCGATTGACATATCCGAGAATTAGTAATGTTATCGCCATTCTGATCAGTAGGTCATTATTAGTTGTTGTGGTTAGCTGTCCAAAATAATAACAAGCATACGTAGACAAGAGATTTGGTATTTGATTATACTGAATTGATATTATACACTATTAATTGTTCGTTTAGAGATCTTATATCTGCGGTTTTGGTGGATACTTAATCCGAATGGACGTGCATACTGTTTGGTTATAATCTTGTTTTTTTTTGCACAAATGTTTCAAGAGGAATATTCTTATTCGAAATGTTTTGTTGATTTAATTAATACTAGTTTTAGTGCCAATACGAAGTTTGGGATTCGTTAAACTATCGCTTTGCTGAGTTAATTTATTTTCATTTTTTTTTTAGACCGAGTTTTATTTAAGCCTGTCTCTAGACACAAATGTTTAGTTAAAAATGCTTCGTCTACCAGTAGGTTAAACAACAGGACTTGTATGTGTTTGTTCTGTTGGTAACTCGTCATTACTTACTTTTATTGAAAATATAGTAAAATAGGTATATCTCGCAAAAAACCACTTGACCAAGCACAAGTAATCCTTCACAAAAATTACTATTGCAGTATATTGGCCCAGCTAATGGCATACTTTGTTAGAACACTGCAACTGCAAGCACTGCGATGTAATTAAATTTGCATAGAAATCCCCCCAAATTAGCCCTTAGCGTGCAACTGACAATGTAACGACCTGATCTCTTAGATGAAACTCCTTATAAGTATGTACTTATAATAAAGGTTTGTGTGATCAGTTTAATTTTAATTGAACCTTAATATCTGTATACAAGTATTAATTTACTAAATTTAACTATAGTGGTAGGTAGACACCAGAGGTCTTTTGAAAAGGAATACGCTCTTTTCTTGAAGGTTGGAAGGTCATGTCGGTTCGGAAATACTGCCGACGATAGACTCCCATCATATATATGGTTGAGAAACCATTTATGTGATGTACAAGATACGCTGTCGTGAGTTTTGATGACGAAAAGACGCGGCAGGTACCAGAACAGACAACAAAAATTCAATGTTTGACTTGATAATTTGTTACAGCAGTATTTACTCAGTTTAAGCAATGGTAAGTAGAAATGACGTGTTAATCATGCTTACGGTTCTTCGGATAGTTAACCAGTTACCGTAGCACAGAGCCATCTGCAACATTTGTATTGCAACTCGCGTGTAGCTGACTCTTTTTTTATGGGATAAGCCAGTAAACGAGCAGACGGATCACCTGATGGTAAGCAATTGGCGCCGCCCATGGACACCTATAACACCAGAGGCGTTTCAAGTGCATTACCGGCCTCTTGGGAATCAGGAATTTGAGGATTGTGGGGTCTTCGGGGATTGGGAAGACTAGGAAAGATTGGACCTCCGGTAATTATTCACATAACGAACCACAACGCAAGCGTTGATTCACGTCGATTTTCTGCGTAGCCGTGGTATCAGTCCAGTCCACAAAAAACATTATACTAAGAAAGTTAATATAGTTCAAGCTTTCTTCAACAACATAATCTATACACTAACCTACATTGTAAACAGTACCTGCTTTACACTGTTTTTCTATTCCAATAGATTATAAATATGTATAGGCAGAAGTCGCAATGTGGAACAAAGAGGTTCGGTTACCGGTCACGATTCTGACCGGTACGATTGTACACACCGTTTTGGATGCCCGTGTGCCGCCCATGAAGTGTCGATGATATACCATAACAATGTGCTAATGTCACCAGCACCATGTTTATTTATATTACTTCTTTACTTATAAGGTTTTATTATGAAGATCGGAAATATTGACTCCGATCTCGATCGTGATGTGATAAGCTTATACGTTTGTGGACATTGTGATTTATCTGTGGTGATGGTTTTAATTCTTGCTTTTATGTTCTATTAGTGTTATTAGAATGGAGAGAAAATGGATGAAGAAAAGCTTAGTACACAAGCTTTGGGGATAATATACTTATTTAAAATAATCCCATTGGTAATTTCGGGAGGATTCTGAATTCTGTTTTGACGTTCTTACTTACTTTCTGTCTGACTCTTTATATCTGATAGAAATTATTCAAAAGACAATACTAAAGTAAAGGGCTGATCCTCTTCAAAATTACATAGGTACAGCCTACAAAAGCCAGGTATCACTAAGTACATAGTATAAAACAAAGTCGCTATCCGGCGTCTGTCTGTCCCTATGTATACTTAAATCTTTAAAATTACGCTACGGATTTTGATGCGGTTTTTTTTAGTAGATAGAGTGGTTCTTAAGGAAGGCTTATATGTATAATACATGCATATTGCACGCGTGCGATGACGGAACGGGTCGCTAGTTATTTATATACAAAACTTTATTGCAATAAATGTATAGTTTTTTGATCCTAAGCTAACAAATTACTTAAAATGTTGCCTTGTTAGTGATTTCTATTCTAATGTAAAATTTAACACTAGCACAAAAACACAAAGAATAAATGAACAAATCTTTTTTTTTACATTCGTCCTTATCCTTTATCACAAACAATCAATGTTTTATACTTCCTCTTTAGTTGAAGCGACGAAATATTTCGTAGTGCACATTCCAGCAAATCATAGTTATCATATCACACATGGCTACATCGTCACGATTGTCGCAGGCCCACGCGATAACACAAACATTAGGTACGTTCTCAAACAAACGACAACTATCGAGATCCACGAACGCAATAATTTTGTGTTCCGCAATAAACTTTATCGATTCTCTTATTAAATTTAATATTTGTACCGCACTAGTCGCTGTAAATGTACTGCTAAATCTATTTTAAAATCGATTTATATTTTATTCTACACATGTTTGTTCGTGATACAAAATGAAGGAAACACCGTGGCAAAGTGACAAAACGTAACAAAAAAATCTGAGAAATTCATAGTAATATGAACATTATTTTCTTTTTCATTTTATATTACAGTGCAGTCTATGTAAAATACACATACTGTCTGGAAGGTAAATTAAGTGAATGAGAAATAGCTAATGACTTATCGTAGTCTTCGTAAGGATTTAACGCTGAACAATTTTATTCTCTAGCTCCAGAAAATATGACGTTGCACTATTTCGATGGTACAGATTGGGTGACTGTGAAACCACGTAATATCGAAGTTAAACCAGAAGGTAAGACGTTGAACTCAAAAAAAGAACCAAACCACAAGTTCTGAAATTGATGTGAAACAGTAATATTTTATATCTTTTCTTCAAAATAATTGCTATTTTTTCTACAAAGTATTGAAAGTGACCATAAGTTATTCCTGCAAATCAATAGGTTTTGATATAAATACTTCGTAAATTTATTGACAGCGGAATATCCATATATGTAGCAACAAATTTTTCAGACACTTAGGCTAAAAAAAATTACAATTTCAGTTTCAAGACCCATAAATATAACACAGTTATTAAACTGGGAGAGACTAAGCAAGTTGTTTCAGCCAATTGAACTAGAAACTACACTTAAAGAGACTACTACTAAAAAACCGCCAACGAAGCCTACAACTAAACCTACTACAACTAAACGAACTACAACGAAACCTACTGCAACTAAAACTACTACCACTAAAACCACGAAAAGAACAACTGTAAAAACTACAAGAACAACAACTCCAAAAACAACAAGATCAACAAAACGACGATTAAAATTCATTACAAAAAGAACCATACTTGTATCTACAATACAGTACATTTCACACTGTAAGTACAACTTGTGTAACGAAATATATAGTAAACCAACAACAAAACATAAAAAGGTATACAAAGTCTGGAAAAGAATTCAGAAGAAACCTACAGTTGACAGCAAATATATAACCAACCCAACGACTCCTTTTATACCTCGTTGGATAATCCAAGAAGTCACTACTAAGAAGTTTACTTTTCTAAGAAACAAAAAGGAAACTACAAAAACACCGAAGACGACGACTCGTACTACAACGAAGGCGACAACCCGTACTACAAAGAGGTCTACAACTCGCACCACGACGACTAAAGCAACTACTACACCCAAATCGACAACCAAACCAATTACTAAAAATCCTGGGAAAAGTAATATGAATATGACAGGTTTGTTATACTTTAAAATTTACCTGTGTCTGGTTTTAGGATAATTTTTTATGGAATAGGAGGCAATCGAGCAGACGGATCACCTGATGGTAAGCGATCAGCGCCGCCAATGGACACCCACAACACCAGAGGAGTCACAGGTACGTTGCGTACTAATTGATTATTTTGTAGAGAACCTCATAAAAAGCTTTATTGTTCCACTAAAATACACTTCCTTGTATCAATTTGATCTTTGAAATGACAAAATAAGCATTTATACACATTTCCATAATTTTGTTCAATTTATATAAATAACCTCTTTTTTCAGAATTTCCTACTTTACCTAAAAACTGGATGGAGTTAATGAAAGAATTTGTGAAAACAATAAAATCAGTTAATAAGACGACTATGTGTGAACGTTGTGAGTATATAATAACCTCCTTGTAGCCGCACTTGAAAAGGGCCATAATTAAAAAATTGCTGAAAATATAAAAAAAAATGTTTTGGCAACATAAGGAGAAATATACAATACCTAATTTTTCTTAACTCAGAAAATCTTAGCCTTGTGATCATTTATTTACAGCAAGTTTAAACGAAACGACGATCGCACCTTTCAATTTTCCTCTGTCTGAAAATAAGAAAGAAATGACGAATGTTGAAGATTTCATTAATATATTAAATGATGGTAACTAATTTATATTTGACTATCTAACAACTATTTAATCTTATTGTCCTAACTACTACTTTATCCAATTATAGTAGATCATTGTGTCATGTACAAAATATTTTCACTCAAAATTCTCCCACTGAAATAGCTCTCACATCGTATACAATAAATTATATGATACGACCGGGAGGATAAATATAATAAAAAATGGATATCCCAGTGAAAATGTCAATTAAAGAGATAAGGATCTGAACCATACATAATTTTAATTATATCAACGTCATCGGTCATACTATAAATAATAACAAAGTGTATTCTAATTGTAATGTTGGTCGTGAACGATAGATTCGAACTAATGACCTATTGATACTGCCGCATTACTACGATGCCCGATGACTTATCTCGATAAAAATCAACCTTCGAATACTTGCAATACTTGATCATTTATTTTAATGACTACCTTTTTTAATGGTCAAATTAACATATGATTACTAGTACATGCCTATAAAATCAATGTCATAATAAGCTCAACAATTTTATCACGTAATATATCAAATATTTTCTTTAAATCAAAGAGTGAGACAGACATACATAAATATCTTTAACAGAAAAATAGGGTTTAAAACTTTCAAATAATATTTTTCATCTAAAAGAAATGGAGGAGGCCAATTCCAAAATCGGGAATAGTTAGTCATAAACATACTTTATATTTAGTTTATAGTTAAGTCACTTTATATTTTCAGGTGTTGAAATTGATGATGGACTAGTAGAGGATGTTATCGAAAAATATAACCCTCTACGTAACTTTAAAGAAATAGAAAGTACAGTCATAGATACCGAAAAACCTTTATCAGAAAAGGTAGTCTTTACACGTAATATAACCTCAACAATAAACACGAGTGAAAAGGAAGATGACGCCATTTCACGAGACGCTGAAATAGCAGCATATATTAATGTATTTATAAATAGATACGTGAAAACACACTTAACTTCTCAACCACAACATACAACACTACAATATAATGATGTACAAGCATTATTAGATATAATTCATGGTAAAATGACTCCAAAAGAGTTTTTACGAACTAATGATGAACATCAGAGAAATGTCGCTATAAAAGCACTAGTTGAAAACATTGAAGTCCAAAATTCACTTCCAGAAAAGATTTCTAGAACAAATTCAGAAACAGATAGTTCTCAATTGCTAAAAGAGCATAGAAATCATTGGAAGAAAAGAGATATAAGAAAATATTTGAATAAAATCAAAGAAACGTTTTCTGAGAAAGATAATAAAGAACAAACACAAAATTTTTCACCCACTCCAAATAAAGCAGTACCATTTGCTTCATCAAATAAAATTAATGTAGACTCCAACAGCAATAAAGAATTATTAGTTAACAAAGACGTACAGTTGTTATTTAGTACTTTTGTTATGTTTTTAATGAAAAATATTACTGCAGATGCACAAACAGTTACCAAGCCTATGAAAAAAACAAAGGAGGTCCCTAAACTAGATAATAGGACATTGCAATTGATTCAAAAGTTAAACGAAATGAATCCCCTTCTGACAAAATTTCGTTCTGATTCTAAAGAAATTAAAACTCAACCACTATTTAGAAGTAATAAAGCAACGGATGAATTACCGATTAAACATTTTTTTGCTGACAATGATGATATTTTAAACTATGATAAAGAAGATTATGAAAGATATGATACAGAAGGTATCGAAATGGATTTGACAGAAGAGGGTTTAGGAAATAAAGATAGAAATATTGGTTAGTGAGTAGGTGGTAAAAAATATAGAAAATGTACGTTTGGTGACGCTATATGTGTTTCTAATTGAAATTGAGTGAAATAGTTTTTAGGCTTTATTTGTGACTATTGTAATAATAATAATAAAAAGAAAAAAATATCTATTTTTTAGTAAAAACATTTTTATTTTTATTTTTCTGCTTGTACTTTTTGCAGAATCTTTTCAATAATATTATGAATTTAAATTACAATTAAAAAAAAGTAAAAAACCCATTGTAAGTAATGGATTTGACGACGATAATTATCGTTATGAAATCAGTTTCTTACAGTTCGTACATTTCATTTTTATTTTTACAAACTTATGTTATTGTTTTATATATAGAATGATTTTGATAAAGTTTATGGTTCCAGTGATTTATTTCTAACAATATTTCCTTTTTACGAACTCGTGTCGTTTTTATGAAAAGGTGTGTTTATCAAAATTTTCAGTAAGGTCCGGATTGACCTGTTTTTGTAGAGCATTATGGTCAAGTGACCTTTTTATGTCATGTCTTTTCTTATGAAGGTCTTCTTACTATGGATTGGATTCATCCATGAACAGAATTGCGCTGTTATTCACAGTAAGTGTAATTAAAGACTTATTTGTTATTTACCACAAGGTTTTAAGGGCATGTAATTAGCATATTTTCTATATTCGTCCTAAGTTTTTTACACATATATCATCATCATCATCAACAGCCTACAATTGCCCTCTACTGAGCAAAGCCTCTTCTCACACGGAGAAAGGTTGAGCATTAATCACCACGCTTGCTCAATGCGGGTTGGCGATTACAAATTTATAATTAGAAATTATAAGCCCAGGTTTCCTCACGATGTTTTCCTTCACCGTCTGTCAGTAGTGTCTAGATAATCTTAAAAAGTACATATGACTCGGAAAAAGTCACATTGGTACTTGCCGTTGTTAGGTTTTGAACCCGCACCCTTATATGAATAGGTGTAATCCCTTTTTTTTAAGTTTTATTTTTAATTCCAACCGTCAAAATGATATTTAAGAAATATCCAAGTGCACTTTCTTGCCAAGCGCGTTAATGCTACGGCTTTTTTCTGTATCAAACCATATAATTGTATTAATTATATGAGTCGATTTCGCAACAAATGTCGCTTACTCTCTTCTAGCAGGAAGGCATAAGCTCATATTCATAGTATCTATAAGATATACTGCTGTTAATTCAACATTACTTTTTATTATTAACAGGGCTATAAGTTTAATTTAATTCTTATACTTTTCCGATAAAACAATGTTTCATTTATTTTTTAAGTGGATAATAGTAAACACTTCAAAGGCTATGATTTTGTCGTGCAGAAATATTTGGATCCTCTTCGGAAATTACAAGGTATGTAATGTACGTGAATGTAGATAAATTTACATTACCTCATGACTACAACATGTATAACATCACGCCTTTTATTTCCGAAGGTGTAGGCAGTGGGGCACATTACAGCACTTAATGCCACTGAACACAATGTAACACCCACTATTTATGTTATAAGTCGCATGAAAGGGGGTCCTATTGCCATATATCGGGCATCGATCCCGGCAGTCGCACTTGTGACCACTCGGCCAATGAGGCAGGCACTACAACACTGTTGAGTAAAGTTGTTTCAAAAGGAGAACGAGAAAGAAACTTTTTTCAAAAAAAAAATGTTTTACAATCTCACGGATACATCATTTGACTATTTACGTATTACATAACTTTACCTATTGTTTGTTTAAGTGTTTAATAATTGATATAAAACCAGCTGCTGATAAGATTAATTTTAAGATAAAAAACGTTCCTCACACTAGGATTATATCCTTAACTTACAGCGGAACTACCGAATCATGCAATCGAGATGCAAATAGAATTTCATGATGCCGTTCCTACATATACAAAGACTAAGCCTCAGAGACGATTAATTCGTGTTTTAAATCCTCGTAAACCGAAACCAGGTGAGATAAAATTCCAATATTTAAGTGTGGGAGAACCATGCATCGGCATGAATGGGCCGGCTCGATCGGAGTGATACCAAGGCTTACAGAAAACCGACGTGTAACAACACTTGCATTGTGGCGGGTGAATGTGGATACCGGAGACCCAATTTCCCCCTTCCCCTTCCCCAAACTCTCCAATCCCTGAATCCCCAACAATCTTCAAATTCCTAATGGATTCCCAAAAAAGGTCGGTAACGCACATGTAACGCCTCTGGTGTTCCAGCTATCCATGGGCGACGCCTATTGCTTACCATCAATATGGTGATCAGTTTGGTCGTTTACCGGCTTATCAAATAAAAATAAAATTTACACCATTATTAAGTAACTATGTAATATAATTATATATTTAAACTCTGTAATTTATGGTTATTAATGAAGTTTATTTTGTGTTCTTCAGTGAAACGCACTCAGGGTGGAAATGAAAATGGTAAGTGAGTTATTTGATAAAAATTCAATTATAATAACAATTATTTTGTCAATCATTTAACAGATTTTATTAGTAACAGCTTGGACATAATTTGCTATTTTAGAATTTCCTTTTTCCAGCTGCAGCGTCACAGTCGGCACCATCAAATACATCTCTACCAGCCCCACCTGCAGCTCCAGGTTAATAAATCTATCAATTTAATCGAAGACTTAACAATTATTATATTACTGTAGCTAATAATTTAACTAAAGCAAACTTATTAAAGGTGAAGCAGGAAAAATTCCCGTATACATGGACGATTTAAAAAAGGCACTCGAAGATCTTGAAAAGAAATTGAGCGGGGTGACTACTACAACTACAACAGCCGGGACAGGAGCTGGAACAACATCGAGTAAGTTTTTGTTTACCATGCAATAAATTTTTACATTCGTGCCAATTTCAATCATACTGGGGACAATGTCATTTTATTTCAGTAATAACTCGAAAACAAGGTATTGTAACGTATTCGTTTTGTGTCGGTTGGATTGTTCTATATGACGATATAGTAAAATCATTTTGATGAAATTCTGAAATGGGTATACATACACTATACAGATCAAAGATGCAATAAGCTAACTACTGATTTCAATAACATAATCATCTTAATTCAAAATTTGTATGGAAAATATGTATGTCATCAATCGGCAGATTTTGTATTAAGATAAATAAGTTAAATTAGCCGTAAGGAAAATACTAACAAACTAGAAAATCTCTAGTATATCGGGAAAAAAACTGGAATAAGTTTACATTGGTTGGTGCGATTAATTTTGACAATAAACATTTTGGAAAGTATATTAATCTTGTTTTCACAGATGGAGGCACATCGTGTAATGGTGGTGGTAATGGTGGCGGTGGCAGCGGCGGTGGTGGCAACGTCAAAAATGTGTTGCAGACACCAATTCGAAGTATAGACAATATCTTGGAAATTTTGAAAAGAGGTTAATCTAACTACTTACAACGCAAATATAATTTTTCCAGTAATTTTAACGTGGTACAAAGTTTGACAATTTTAGGAGCACTTTTTCTCCACAAAATAATGAAATGCAAGGGGTTTCGGATTCGATTCCCAGGTCGGGCAAACTATTACTGAGTTCTTTAAAAATTCTTAGTAGTAGCACGGAGTCTGTAATTGTGCCCGGTATATGGCAATAGGTTCACCCCATATTACATGGGACTCATAACAAAGATAGTGAAAAGAGGGTTTTACATTGTACAGTGGCATAATATTCACCTCTGCCTACTCCTTTGGGGATAAAAGGCGTGATGTTATGTTATGTAATAATGAAATGATTTTCTATCTATTTACAGCTATTCATATTGAGCATCGGGAACCAAAACCGAGTGAAAACCTAGAATGGGTCCAAGTCAAGATACCTAAGTAAATAAGAAATATAAAATTTAATAAAGCTTTAGAAATAACATGAAAATACATTTCATAGAATTAAAAACTAATTTGATATTTATTGTGTATATTTATTAACTTTTAGTTTGTATGAATGAATAAATTATTATGTTTTCGGCTTACTCACGTAATTATTTCACGAGGAACTCCAGCCGAAACCAGCAACGCGACAGTCGTCGCGTCGCGGGTCGCAAAATGCTGCTCATGAATATGAGCCTCTAGCATGGCTTGAAACTAGACGAGTTCCTCGTGAAATAATTACGTGAGTAAGCCGATAATATGTCTCACGAAAGTTATAATGTATGATTGAACCTATACAGAACCTAATAACTTCTTTGAGCATCTTCAGTTGGGTTCAATCTTATGTCAAACAATTTAGTTAACATCAAACAAAGAAGTTAACCAATCAATTATTTGGTCAGGATCGACCATTTGACCTCAACCTCAGAAGGAACGCACAAAAATTAACTAGAACGTTATTTATGAACCTCGTTTTGAGATAATTCTGTGTAACGTTATTAACTCATCATTTTGCTGACGGTAAACGTGGGCCGTATTCATAGTTTTGGTTATTGAAAGTGTTTTACTTTATATACGTTGACTAGCTTTAGCCGTTGAGTGGTCGCAAGCTTGATTGGTTTTACTAGCGAATTACAATTTTAGTTTAATTTTGGAAATGATTACTGGGTCTTCACATTTATTTCTGCAGGTGGAAAGATAGGATTTCCAACTTCCTCTTTCTACTACATGTGGCTCAAGTACAAAACTGCTTAAAGTTCAAGCAGTTAAAAAGAACAAGATTTTACCATCATACGCTGTATACGCTTTGTCTTATAAAATAACTCTAAATTCAAACTCTGTTCCCTAACTATGAATACTCACCAAGTTATGCAAGCTTGATGAATAGTTCAGTAAAGCACGGATAGGCAGGTGACCTCCGGAGCGCTGCAGCGCTGATCTGTATCGGTGCCCCGAACCGAACAGCGCAATTAAACTATTAGCTAAAGGACATTTGCGATGAATAAAGCGCTTACCGCTTTGTTCCATTAACCGTGCGGTAGGTGGAGTTAGGAATTTCGATTATCATGATAGGACGTTGTTTTAAATTTATTCCGCAAGGGTCAAATGTGATGTCGGCATTTTCTACCATATTGGTAGTTTACCATTACCTATTTATACATAATGATAATCATAAACGATGAATGTAAAGATGAGATCTTATGATGTAGGCATACTAAATTCACTCTCTTACAATATGATCCAATGGAACGGGACAAGAATGTAGACGGAAGCTCGATACTACCGCGCATGTGGTTTCGGGTTTTTATTTCTATCACCGTTGACCAAAGTATTTTATAAGTGTCAGGTTTTTTAAGTGGCGAAAATTATCGAATAGCTTCTTCTACCAGGGTTAGGCAGGACGGAGTGTCAGACTCTTACTGGCTGAAACCACCCCGTTCCTACTCTTGCACTTCGAGCTGGAGCCCCAGCAACCCGTTAAGTCCACCTCGGCTCCATATCGGCATCAGCCCTGTTGGGCCCCATCCGTGGTGGTCTGATGGCTCTTTGAGACGCGAGCGGAACGCGATGCGCCCTTAAAGTACCAAGTTTAGAGCTGTGGCTGTATGTGGAAATATTAAAATTATGCTTGTCCCACATTTTATTATGGGACCTAAAACGGAATACGCAAACCTGCATGTTACAGTTTTTAAGTGTATCTCATGCAAAATGTTCAAACATAATTAAATCTCTCTTCAAAATCAATAATTTACTTCAGCATTTAATTTATCCAACAATTGATATATCGTCGACGGACCCTCTCTATTAAGTTAATTTGAATTAACAACGCGTTTACTGTGGTTAACCATACCATCAACTTACTTATAAACAATAAAAAACATGTATTTCAATCGACCCCAGCGTGGGTTCCACTCATTTAATACTCGTTTACATACAAACGAGGTAATTTAATAGCTGGACATTATTGCCAAGATCCTGTAATTAGACTTGGCACACCTTGGAGTTAGTATTTTATTTTATTACCGATGTGAAAAAGTCCAAATACTAAAAGGTGTACCAAATGATTTTTTTTTATTTTAAACCGATAAAGAACATTAACTAAGATCATGAGGTCTATTAAATAGGGATTTAAACTGAATCTGGAGCAGGACAATCCCCCCCTTAATAGGAGCTGATAGTGGTCATGTTAGTTTTGGTGAGGTAGAAATCATAACACCTTGGGCATTCCCCCCAAAAAATTACTAAAGCTTTCGAAGTTCGATAAAAAAATGAAGCTATAAAAAGTTATCTAACAAGTTAAAATTACTAGAATTTAAACACAAACTAAATCATTTATTGAAACAAATAAACTCAACGAACTTAGCAACTAAAACATTTATTCAGTATACGACCAAACAAACTAATCTCATTGAAAAACGATTTATCCATTTCAGCTGTCAAAAGATCAATCCATTCTGATTGTACAGAGAACTTAAGACCTAATCTAGCTCAAATGCTATCATTAATTCAATTAAAAATAAAAAACAACGGTAAAGAAATATGTGGTCAGACAATATGGCTAATTAGAGCCTTCAAGTTTCAGCAAAGGTCTTCACGATTATTCTTGTAGATAAATGATATGTTTACAGGTGCATTTAATTTGTAATTTACTAGTTATTACACACGATTGTGCTCGCGTAAAAAAAAATATGAGGAACAATAACAACGATGTGTCTACAAAGTACAGCGCCATCTATCCTACCTATAACAGAAGAAAGAAACTAAACAATGATGGTAATTACGTAATGTTTTCATCATCCTTTATTAGTCATAATGAGAAGTAGGCCTCACCAATGATTATATTACCATACCAGGTCTGCCAATTTTGGATCAAAAGAATATGGAGACATTTCGTTACTCACAATTAAAATAAATTTGGCACTTTTTAATAACAATAGAGACAAACAGACTTACATTGAATATTACATTATTTATTTACAACTTATAAGTATGGATTATTAATGTTTATGCTAATGGATAGATAAATATACATTCCGGTATAATAGGTACCTACTGGTGTTTGAAATGAAATCGTTTGTTTTATCTTGATCGTGAATAATATCAGGAATAAACGTCATTCTGTTATTTGGTGTTGTTTGACGGCCATGTTGTAAATATATAAACTTTGATAAATGCGTCACTTTAAAATTGAATATCTGAACTTAGCCAATAAGTAAGTACCATTCAAGTACTCTAGCATCTTAATTTTTATTATTGAAAGTTTTCAATACATTTCAATAAATGACAGTTCAGTATGTATGTGTGTATATTTGTGGGCCATTATCTGGCAATTAGCTGAACCGAGTTTGATGCCGTTTTCAGAAAAGTGTTTGTTACACTTGGGAGAAGGTTTTAGTACATTAATTTACCGGCTTTAAAAGAAGAGGGGGTTGAAGTCGGTTTTTGAACGTAGTTTATAAAAGAATTATTATTTGTATTGTAACTTTCGTGAGCCAGTAGCAGCGCGACAGTCGCCACGTCACGGGTCGCGAAATGCTGCTCAGGAATATTAGCCTCTAGCATGGCTTGAAACTAGTCGAGTTCCTCGTCAAATTACTACGTGAGTAAGCCGAAAACATAATAATTTAAGAATTATTATGTTCACAGTTCAGTGCAAAAAGTATTACTTACCTTATATTCAGTGTATAGTAATTTGCATGTTTTAATAATATCACGTGTGAAGTTTGAAATACAATGCACTAAAAGGACCGTGCAAGTGCAAGCAACATTTTACAGCCTCTAAGATTTTCAATACTTTTCTCGCTGAATGGTAATATAACAAAACCAAAACAGTTATCTTTCAATTTCAGAACATTCTTCCTAAAAAGGAAACGCTTTCCTAACTTCGGCTTATCGTTTACTTAACCACTACTTAGGCCACATTATTAAATTCCTTAAATATTGTCACCGACGCCCGCCTATACAATTTTAGTGTACCAACAAATTTATGTAGACAAGAGCAATGAATAATCTGTACAGGAATTAGCATTCCTAAAATGGTAAACATATAGTTTATAGTAGACAGCGGCTTCAGTACCGGAGCGGCGCGCGTAAATCAGATTGCATGGACACTACACCATTTTGAACAGTTCGAGGTATCGGCGGTTTCGGGTTAATGTAGCTTGTATTAGGGTCAAAAATCGTCCTGTATGACATTGAGAAATAACAGATACTATAGATTAATTTTTTTTCTATACAGTAATTAATTCTAACTAGTCATCAAATAATACATAGTAAATATAGAGATAGGTAAATACTACTGACGAATGTTATTTTATAAGTATTTTAATCACAACCTTCAGCAAATATTAAGCAAATAGGAAGCGATTTTTATCCTCAAGCTTTAGGTGCATAAAATTACATAATTAGATGGCATGCCACTTCAAATTGCTAGGTAAAGCCAGTTGACTAAACAGACTGCTTTCAATTCCGTATTATAAATAATAACAGTGGCATTGTAAGCGACCTTAGCGGGACTGCGGCGGAGCTACGGACAGCGCCCCGGAGCGAAGCAGCACCATAACATGCCTGTAATATCGGGAGCTACAATGAACTTTAACATTTCCACATAGGGCCCCTGATGGTCCCGACTTTCACCGTAAACGGCCAATTTACGGACGTCTGTCGACCGGCCAGTGTCTTAAGCTAAACTGTCTCAATTAGTGCCCGGATAGATGACCTCGCCATTTCGACAGCAATACCGGCCAAGATTGCGGTGGTTATTAGGTTAAGTGCAATAGGGCGGCGAATAGATGTTGCTGGAAAGCTCTTACCCGTGAATGACTCCGCCAAACGTTGTATGCCGGTAATTGTTTTTGACGTTGCCGTGTTCTTGGTAATTCTATGTGTACCCAGACCAACGTGTTTGATCTTCGAAGATAAGGTAAGTGAGGAAAACTTAGGGCCTGGCGAGTAATTTGC